TGGCCATGTGTCTTCCAAACCTAGACAGATATGTGTATGTATAATCAATCAGTTCAAAGCCCCCTATAGCAGGAGGCAATGCTTTGTTGTAAAACAAAACTGAGATGAAATAACCGTCATCCTTTCAAATATCCTCTGAGAGTTTGGTATTTGAGGCACATTCTGTGATGTACTTCTCTCTGACCTCAAACACTTTGATTCTGTTTTTCAAGTTCACATAAAAGAGGGAAAGCTCTCAGATTGGTCTACTGTACCGAAAACCTCGACTGCATCTGAATTCCTTGCTAGTGCGGAGAAATTAGTTGTTATTCAAGATAGTTAGGAAGCGGAGATGAAGGACCATTACATTAGAGAGGCCCAGCTCTTTGGGAAGTTGGGCCATCTCGCTCCCTATTTAAAAATAGACGAGTTCCTACTGTTCCCCAAGGCTTTGAAGGGTACACTTAGATATTGTAGGTTCCGTCCGGACATCCTTTCCTACCACTGACAATATACTTTCAGAACTAGAGAATGTGCCTTGTCTGGAAGGCTTAAAACAAATGCTTCAATTTTCCATTCTCCAAATGAAAATCAATGGCAGCAGAGAAGTAAAATCAATATTCAGCAGTCTGTAGGGGAGCTCCAATCCCATCCCAATCTGCCACCCACATAGAAAAATAAATCAGAGCCAGCCATCCTGACTGGCAGAGAATCCCTGAGAGCAGAGCCCTCTGCAGGTCTCAGGATTATCTTTTGGCCTATCCTCTAATAGTGGTGGCAAACCTACAGCACACATGCTGCAGTAGGCAAGGCTGTTTGTTACCACTGAAAGTTCTAAAGGTTCACCATCACTGCCCTAACAGAATGTTTTTCTGAAGATGGTCTCAGAAAATATTTTAAAAATTAAGTGTTATGGTTTAGATCTATAATGTCCCCCAAATGTCTCATGTGTTTGAAAGCTGACTGGATCACGGGGATGCTATATTCATCTGGGGACAATGATGAGTTTATGGCTCACTTGCCGTTAGGAAATGGAGCCTGATTAGAGGCAGGTCACTGAGGCATGACCCATAAGGGTATATGCTTGTCCCCAGCTCCTTCCTTCTCTATTTCCTAGCTGCCATGGGGTGATCAGTTTTCCTCTGCCATTCCCTTCCACCATGCCACTCTGCCTTGGAGCCAACTAACCATGGACTGAACTCCCTGAAAACTGCCAAAATAAACCTCTCCTCCTTACATTATGGGTAAGTGTCTAATCCAAGGATGAGAAAAAGCCAACTTACACACTAAGTCAGGAAAAATCATACAGTGTTTTAACCAGAATTCTTCTTTTGCAAACAGACCCATTCACCAGGGGAATCTCTGGCATGTAACACCAGATCTTGACTTCACTATTTCCTGAAATATCCACTTTATTATCCAGCTTTATAGCCTTAAGCAACCAGCGACCATGGTCATCTTCTTCCTGGGCAATTAGTAACCTGGGAGCTTGTGTTCTCTAAAATTTCAGGTAAATGGTAATCATACAGTATATACTTTGGGGAGAGGGGTCTAGTTTTATCCACTCAAAATAAATATTAGATACACCCATGTTGTTGGATGGATCAAAAGCCTATTTATTAATGTTGAATAGTAATCCATTGTAATGGACACACTATAATCTGTTTATCCATTCAACTGCTGTTGCACATTTGGGTTATTTCCTGCATTTTTACTATTACAAATAAAGTGGATATGAATATTCACTAGTCCATCTTTAGGTATACACAAGCTTTATTACATATTTTAGAATAAAATCTTCTCTTGGATATGTTTTGCAAATATTTTTCCCACAGTGACTTGCATTTTTATTTTTTAATTTTATTATTATTTGTTCGTTCATTTGTTTTGAGACAGAGACTTGCTTGTGTTTCAGGCTGGCCTTAACCTCACTGTGTAACCCAGGCTGGCCTCAAACTCACAGTGACTCTTTTGCATCAGCCTCCTAAGGGCTGGGATTACAGGCATGCACCAGGACACTTAGCATCCTTTTTAATTTTATAAAAATGCCTTTTTAAATTTTAGCAGAATCTAATTTGTTGAGTCTTTTTTCTTTTGCATCAGCTATGCATGATGTTTGTGTCCTACTTAAAAAATATTTCTCAACCTCATGGTCACCATTTTATATTTTCTTCTAAAAATTTTAAAATTTTACCTCTTCTAATTTAAATTTATTACACATCTAAAGTTAATTTTTGTATATTATGTTAAATAATCAACACTTACATATATATAAGTTTGCGGTATCATAAAATATTCATAACAAATATTAATTGAAATAACAAAACCCCATGACCAGAAGAATAGACAAAAATATACAGCAACATTTTAATTACTGTTTTTAGATAATATTACCTATTTCTTCATTCTTTTGCTTTTCTGACTTTCAATTTTTTATAATAAGCATCAACTATCATTACATCAAAATAGATTTGTACCAGGCATGGTGGTGCAAGCCCATAATCCCAGCTGCTCAGGAGGCTGAGGCAGGAGGATCACAAGTTCAAACCCAGCTTGGGTGACTTTTTAACCTTACCTCAAAATGACAAAGAAAAAAGGGATGGGGATAGAGCTTAGTGGCAGAATTCAATCCACAGTACTGTCCAAAAAGTGAATGTTGAGACATTCTTTAAAAGTCACTTGAGAAAAGCCTACTTGATTCCAGGCTGCCTTCCCAATGCTCTCTCTTGCATAAATGGCCCCTTTGGAGAACAGAAAGGATGAACATACTAACACACACCCACCTCCCAACCCTTAAGAGCAGAAGGCAGTAAAACAAAGAATTTCCAGAAGACATCTCTCAAAAGAATGTCAGTTCAACTGAAGCCTCTGATGAAACAAATACAAATACAAATACAAATACAAGTACAAATACAATACCACCCTAATCAAGGAGAATTCCAGCACAGAAGTTTGGATGCCCTGCTTGCGTTCTTTCTTCCCCCTTCAAAACTGCTTGGTCAGCTCCAAAATGCTGCAGTCATAGCTGTGTACACCCAACAGCTTTTCCACTCACTCAGTTTCTGAGGCAAGGAAAGCTAATGCAATTCTCTTGCCGACACACCCACTGTCCAGTCTGGATCCACTTGCTAAGAGAGCCTGAATCTGGAGCCTTGCACTCAGCCTTGCCCAGCACCTCTCCATGGGCGTGCACTCCTAACTGTCTGACGCGTAGCACTCACCCCTTGAGCTGCTCAGTGGCCACCTAGGCTGGGAGGAGTACCTACAGATGTTTTGTAGAAAGATGACTTCCCTGATTGATGTGTAAATCAAGTTGCCAACATGGTCTCTCTAATCACAGGAGACCCCTGAAGTACAACACAGAGGGACAGATGTTTCATCTGGGAAAGCGTCCAAGACCCTTGGAAGAGATATGCAACCACCTGATAATGGGGACTGAGGAATTCAGCCTCAAGAGGGAGAGGAGAAGTCTTGGATACAAAACCACAGCAAACACTACTGCAAGGCCTCCCTGGGCCATGTCACCACCCAAACCCTGATAAGCCACCTCATCTAACGCTGCCTCTTTGGGCTGTTTTTCAATCAGTGAACATGTCCCACTATCAGAAGTACAGCCATCTCCTTAGTCCTTACCTGCTGTGAAGCTCAGAAGAGGCAGCAGAAATGAAGCTGTAACCCTCACACTCTCAAAGGCCTATTCTCACATGAACCACAAAGGCAGCACAATCAGACTAGAAAGGGGACAAGGAATCTGGAGGATGTTAACTTTTTCGTGAGGAGCATGCAACTTTGGGGACTTTCCCACATGAATTAGATGATAATCATTCTTATCATAACCGTTTGCTAATTATAATGTTGCAACAGCTGTCATTAGATAATACTGTGCTCGCTACACTCCATCACCTTATTGAATTTTGACACAAACACACATACAAAACACCCCCTATAAGTGCTGTCATTAAACCCATTTAACAGATGATGAAGCACAATTTCACACTCACAAAGTGACTTGCCAAGGCCACACAGACAGGAAGTGGCCAACATGGGCATTGAGCCTCACTACCAAATGTATGCTCTGAACTTCTTTAAATTTTGTGGTCACCAGGAGCTATGGGAGATGAGGATTAAACTTTCTATATAAGAAACATGATGTTCCAAGGAAAACACCATTTATACCTGGATGTGTCTAAATACCAATGAAGTTGTTGTCTTACAAAGAGAGTTGAACTTAAAACTAAGTATCTCTTGTCTGACATTTCTAGAAAGGTCTGTATTCTGATTTCTAGGACACATGCAATGGATTTTCCATGGTCGTGTGTGTGCACACACACACATGCACACAAAAACACACATACACACACAGGACCAGATAGATGAATAACCTAGAGTACTATTCTCAAGTGTGCTTGGGTATTTGCAACCAAAGAGGATGCATGTCTCTCTATCAGAAAAGGCAAGAACTGCATGTGGCAGGAGGGATGAGTGGAGATATCAGATGTTACACCTGTGGAAACAGCAATACATGTTCCTAAATGGCAAGGTAATGTGGATCCTGGAGACTTCAGGGGGATGGACGCAGAGAACATTTGGGCTCAGAGACCCTTTGGGCTTCAGCCCCGTGAAGGACTGTCACAGTCAGGCTGTCAGGTACAAACAGGAGCTAAAGGTCTAGCCCTTGCTTTCTTAGCTGTAAGTTTCCTGGACCATGGGCACACTCAGGGAAGAGAAAAGGCCCCAATGGTGACCAAAAGTGATTATTCTGTTCATCTCCTCAGACGGGGCTCAGAGTCAAGATGTAATAGATTTAAAGGCAATTAAAAGTGAGATATATATTGAAGTCAGCATTTGAAAAGTGAGGTTCATGCCAGAACAAGGATACAGGCACCAAACACGATACAAAATGGTGGCATAAGCCTCATGCTCTTCCACGCGCAGCACTCCCCAGCCAGAGACTAGGCACCCTCTGATCAGCCAGCTGCACCGCGGCTGCTGCACTCCAGCTGTGTCACATCCTGCCTTACCTGGGCAGCAGGTGCTTGCGGCTGACACAGAGAGCTGTCTGGTAGTCCTGGGTCACACACACTTTGTGAGGGCTGCATTTCACCTTCAGGCAGGGGTCCTTGGATGGATCCAGGGCTGAGGCAAAAAGAAAGAGAAGAAAGGAGTTAGGACCTCCCAGAGAATTTAATTTCTATTGCTACTCAAATAAACAAATGAGAAATAAACCAACTGTATGGTTGCATTTTGCACTGTTTTCTGAGGATGGTGGTGACTGGAATGAAAATCCAACCCAAGGGACCTCTGTGTCTATCACGCAGTCTGGTATCAGGAGAGTGACTCCTTTGTGCTTTGAGAGTTTCAGCATTTTCATTTCAGGCAGGAATTGCTTCAGAAAAATCCTTGAGAATCCTACATGATCTAAGGGCCAAGATTATGCTTCCCTCTTTGGTTATTTACCTGGTGTTGCTTTTTATTATTTCATCCATGTTTAATTTTACTAATTTCTACCACATAAAACTCCTTAAGGACCGTAGTTTTTGCTTCAGTTCAATAAACATCATCTATATGCATAAATAACCTATTTAAGATTTTAGAGAACTTCAGGATGTGCAAGACAGTTCTGTGCCACACAGTTACAATGTAATATGGGGAAGGAAAAAGCTCACACATAAATATTTATTGTGCAAGGCAGAATTAGATAAGGGCTATGACGGGCATATAAAATGATAACAGAGCTTGAAAGAAAAATAGAGATCAATTTCTAGGGCAAGGACTAGTGAAGCATTAATATGTGAATTGGATCATGAGGGATGGGCAGGATTTGGAAAAAGCAAAGATAGAGAGGGTAAGGCAGGCGAGACGACGGACACAAGCACATGCAGGGAGGCATGTTTGGGCAATCATGAGAAATTCAATCAAGTGTGATTTGTGGGTGGGAATAATGAGAGGAGGAGAGTTGACACCAGTAACTCCAGCAAAGGTCCCCAAGTTCAGAAGTTCATCAGCTGAATGCTTTCCAGAGTAAGCTGGGCATCAGGCCCCTGGCTAATCAGCACTCCGCAGGTGGAGGTGCGCATGCTCATTATCAGCCCAGAAGAGGCCCTACAGAATTGTCTGCAAAACAAAAGCAAGTGTTCCATCTCCCAGCTCTTAGGCCTGAAGCCCTTTAGGTAGAAAATCTCTCAGCCCTGCTGTCCACAGGGCAGGGGAGGTTCCTCCATATCATTCCCATACAAACATTTGGCTAAACAAATTGGCATTCCAAGCAGGGCCAGCAAAACTGCTCTAAGAAATGCCATCGCCTACTCCACCACTGAGCTTTCAGCTGTCACACAGTGTCAGTCACAATTCTTCACTTCCCACCTAGGCTCCAAATCTGAACACCAATTTCTTCAGAGAGCAGCTGGGAATATCTTAAAGGTCTTGCACACAGCATTCAAAGGTGTTTCTTCTGCCTGCACAACTCAAGGTGCCTTCTTTTCCACAGGAGCTCTGGCAGCTATAAGCTGGACCCAGGGAACGTTCTTAGGTCAGTCAGGACAAAAACAACACCAAGAGAGTAACCTGGCAGAGTTGATTCCCTGATGGATACGCCCTAATGCCTGCAGCTTAGTAGAGAGAAACAGGCTCCAATAAGTGAGGGCATGCTTTGAGCCTCAGGGCAGGGTACACACTCTCAGCTCTTAAGCTGAGATCATTCTCTGGAATGCAGTGACTCAGAGACCTGTGTCTGCTTCCCAAGTCCTCCAAGGCTGGGCCTCCTTGAAAACTGTGGCAAGAGCTGTCTGGTCCTGTGTGGAACTGTCTCAGTCCCTGGGGATGTCAAGCCAGGCATGAGAAGCCAGGGGACTGGTGCAGTCTCTGCCAGTTGCCTCATTCTTTGGTACCACCACCTCTACCCCATCCCTGAGGCTGCAGCCCAGCCAGCTCTGACAAATGAGTCAACAATTAAGAAGGTTTACCAGATGACCATTAAGGACAATCATGGCTGTCCTTTGTACCCTTCTCAAACTTTCACCTGCCACTTATGGACTTCAGGAAACCTGGGACCAGAGAGTCTTACAAAAGTTACCAATTGAGGCATTTCCCCAATAGATGCCATGTGACACAGAGACTTTGAGATTTCTATTTAAGTGGGTCCCTGAGATGGAGAATAGTAGGTGCCAGAATCTGCAATGCTACATGATAAGCTTTAGGGCACAGCCTGAACTCTTTTTGGATCTGCTGCCAACTTCACAAGTGTGTAGGGTTCACAGTCCCAGCAGCTGACCCAAATGAGAAGAGCAATCTTAAGGGAAGTAAGGAGCCCAGCACACACAGTGGGAAGAACACAGACTCCAGAGCCAGGGCCACCTGGGACTGGGTCCTGTCGCTGCTGCTCACTGTCCCTGCTATACTTTAGCTCCTTCTTCTATACAGTGGTGATAATAACAATGCTGATTATTGCTGGTTGGTTGTCAGCAGTTGATTGTCACAAGTATTACAAGAATTAATATCTTTAAGTAATTACAACAGACCTGATACATATAAAGCACCTTGGATGTATGTGTTAGGTTTGTCAGGTTTGTATTTTGTTCCCCGAGTGAATAATAAGCTATCATAATCACAAGAACAATAGTTCATCCTGAGTGCCTCTGACATGAAGGTGGTGAACTAAGCCCTCTAATTGGATTATCACACTTAATCCTCACATGAACCAAGGAGATGGCTGCTGCTAAAGTGTCCATTTTGCAAATATGTCTTAGAGAGAAGTTGCTGATGACAGGTGCAGAAGGAACTGGAAAACCTGCTCAACGAACCCAAACGCCTCACTCTATGCCACCAGCACTGGGGTCATCAGGCATCTCTGCTGACCATAAAAGTGGGTTGTGCACTATCACTTCATTCCAAGTAGGGAGCTCAGATGTCTTCATGTTCTCAAGATGTCCTCAGAGCAGAATGAATGTAGTGGGCAAAACTAAGCGGGGGCAACCAGAGGTTCTTCTGCTGCTGCTGCTGCTCCTGCAGCTGCGGTTGTGGCTGCTGAGGCTGTGACAACGTATTCTGCCAGGGTACCCCCAGGACAGGGTCTCCAGCACCAGCCCCGCCCCCAAGGATGGAAGGCCCATCCCTGGACAACTGCACTTCCTGTGCACTCCCAGATGCTGCAAGTCCCCACTGTGTCAGCCAACCCATGGTTTAGTCAGTTTTATCATCCCCGCCTTAGGCAAACTTCTACAGATAGCCCTTCTGAGTGCCAGGATTACATGTGTGCACCACTACATTTGGCTCCCAGGAAGTTAACACTTTTTTGTTTTCACCATTGAGGATTAACCCCATAGATTTAGCACTGAGCTACATCCCCAGCTCTTTTTTTTGTTGTTGTTCGTTTGTTTGTTTGTTTGCTTTTTTGAGACAGAGTCTTGCTAAGTTGTCCAGGCTGGCCTTGAATTTATGATCTTCCTGCCTCAGCCTCCCAGAATGCAGACATTAGGGGCATGTGCTGGTGCACCAGCTAAGCGAACACTTTTTTAACAAACAAAACCAACACATACATCTATAACCAAAAATGCTAATAGCAATTGTCAGTTATTTAACTATGTATACATACTTAATTTGCATACAGAAATCCAGTCTGCTAAAATTAATTACTAAGGTCTGAATACTTCAAATATGGATGCAAATTATTTAGAATAAATGAACTTCATAGAAAAAAGTAACAAATCAAGCTGTCAGAGTCTGTTTAATTACCAGGATGCATTTTATTTTTGCAAAACAGCATTACTGGGATTAAAGATGAGGGAGATGAGGAGTGTTTCATTTTCATTTATATGCAGGTCTCCCATATTTGCTTTTCCTAGCAGCCACTGGGCTCAGATGCCACTCTGGAAAGATTCTCAGTACCAGTGCTGGACAGGGCTGTGTGGCTCCACTTTCTACAGGAAATGATAAGAGATACCAATGAATAATAAGTGGCACTTGAGAAACCCTTTAATGAGGTTGGGAAAACGGCTCAGGTGAGAAGATAGGAGGAAGAGGTGAGTGTCACATGGTGCCAATGATTTCTTGGACACTGTGCCCCAAGTTTTAATCTCCTTCTACACGTGCTTGGTGACAGGATGATGCAATCTCCAGAAGATGGGAAAGCCCTGGGTCCCCCTTTATGTCTTGTATCAACATACCTGCAGGACTCATGTGGACCTAAATGAGATCATGTGCCTAATCCAACGTAGGTAACCCTGAAGGTTAATTCCACCTTCCCTGCCCATCTTCCAGCAGAAATCAGCAGGTGGCAACTGGCACATACTATCTCAAAATAATTTTTACAAAAACTTTTCTCAAAGGAAAAAAGGCCAAAAATGAATTAATTTAAAGAGTTTTGCTGAACTGCAGAACACTGCATTCAAAAGGCAGTTAATTACATTTCCAAGTTTTTTTTTTTAATTAATTTTATTTTTAAGCTCACTGCTTGGTCTCAATTAAGGTACTGATATTTTAATTATCTTAATTGTTTCTGAACTTGTTTTACAGTTCAATGAGTTATTTTTTAATTAGCTATCATTGATTTTAAAATCCAGAATCAAGCCCTTTCACTGTCCTTGGGCAAATTCTATGGTCTAATTGGCAAAGTGTCCTGACATCTGAAACAGCAGAGCTGGATGCTGCTTGAGAGATGTTGAGGTGAGAGGATGATTCCTTTTAGTGAGTTGGCCCAAAACGCCTCTCAGTCTCTGGACACATCACGTGCACACACAAACACACATGCACACATACCCATACGAGGCACACACACACACACACACACACACACACACACACATTTGTTCAGTGGACATGTGCAGAGAGCATCGTTCTGTGTGAGACGTCCCTTTGCCGGCCAGAGGCCAGCAACTCTGTAGGGACCATGATGGCCTTTTTGTTCTCCAGGGGCTCACCTTAAAGGCAGGACTCAGGAGGTGCACCTAACTCAGCTGTGAGTGGGTCAAGTGAGATTTTCTGAAGGGACTGCTTTGGAAAAGCAGATTTAAACCAAGCAACAGTAGGAGTAAGAACATTCCATGTAAAAGGCATCTCTTTCTGGAGTATGAGAGACCTCGTCAGGGGTGGGGACTGAAGTGTTCAGGCAGTTAGTGTGGGTGGGATGAGGCTGGAGAAGG